CATGACTTGTTAGAGGCCATGGGAATATTCCTTGACCTTGTTCCCAAAGCTGTGAGACTCTTCTCATTCCTGCCACCAATGAGCTGGCAGGTCTAATACAGGGAGATCTGCAGGCAGAAACTTCTAAGCATGCAGGCTTCATTAGATAATCTGATGATATTTATTAGATATCAGATAGTTCCATATCTCATTGCTGTCCTCTAACATCATCTGGATCTTTGTAACTTGGATCTGGGATTCCCTAGATGACCAGGTACTTTATTTTACCCATACTTTCACAAGAAAGGAGCAGTCTGTTTAAGGCTTGTTTGTTTTTACTGGTAAGTATTATTTTAATTGTTTATTGTTTCTGACTCTAAACTTCTCTGGCATTTGACTGAATTACAATATCAAGATATCCCATTATAAATAAATCTCTCTTTTCTTACTGACTATTGCCATGACAAAATGTAATTTACTGGCTGGCAACAAATGGAATTAAATTGGATGCTGAATATGTTTGGCATTGCTAGTCTTAGCCTCTCTTTCAAAATATCTGCTGGCATGATATTTTTGGATCATTACAACTATTGTCTCTATCTGTTTGCGTGTGTGAAATAAACATGCACAAAAACTGAATTGGGTTCTAAGCTTTCTATGCCAGTGATCTGAAGACAGGGATAAACAGGACTCTCTTGTTTTTTCTTTGAAGACATTTCACTTCTCATCCAAGAAACTTCTTCAGCTCTGACTGGATGGTGGGGAATGGAAGGATTTATACTCCTTGCAGACAGCTGATCATTTGCATTCTTTTACAGAGTTCTTTAGGCATTTGGAGGTGTACTTATGTCCTCAGGGTCACCTGAGTAGTGCAAATGTGTGTGAAGCCTTCTTGGCTGCAGGATGTTTTCTATCCTGTGTCCCTTCACTGTTGAAGACAGGCACTTTGGGGATGAGTCTGTGTTGTTTGCATCTTGTATACTAAACTGCTGACAAAACAAGCCTGCTGAACAGCTGTAAACTACAATTTTCCCCACTGTAGAAACGGACCCAAACTCCAGAGATCCGCAGTTTGGCAAATATGAGGAGGTATCAAACTTAAATGCAATTGTAAGTAAATATATAATGGTGCAGAATTGGGTGAAAGATTCCAATTTCATATATGCTTATAGGATTTAAGGAAGCAAATGCCTATTAAGGAAAAGGGAGCTTGATAGAAATGTTGTCCCAGTGACAGACACTATTGATAAATGACAGGCTGTGCATCACAATGAAAAGAATGAAAACTATACAAGTAGTATAAAGAATAAAACATGTATAGTGCTGTACAAGTCAATGCTGCAATTGCAACTGGAATGTTCTGTGAAACTGGGTTCCTTATGTCTCAAAATGGATATTATAAAACCCTAAAAGAAATCCTGAGAACAACTCCCTAATGCTTGGATTTTTGCTTCAAAAAAGGTCATGTGCATTTATGATTGCTGTGGAGAAAATGGACAGATTGTGCCTGATGAGAGATTAAAAAAAAAGAATTGTTATGTTAGAGACATAACAATAGCCATCAACATGGGCATATTTAGAAGAGAGAATATAACTACATGGAGAATGAAATTACTGATGGCCATTAGCCTGAGTTAGATTTGAGATAAATTGAACACTGAATCCGTACTATTATTTCCTGTTTTAACAACTAATTAGATCCATTCCTGAGAACCACTATGATAAAGCAAAGAAAAAAAAGATTGTTTGGGGAAAAGACTCTGGTTAACAGATGCCTAGAGTTGCTGTCATTCAGTTAGATAACTCCATTGTTTTGAAGTTATTTCATGCATTGATTAAATTGCTTATGTAATTCCAATTGTTTGTTCAGATTCCATTCCACCACCTCCTCCCCAGTCAAATGGAGTCAATAGAAGTCTCCAAGATTCACAGATTCCTCCAAGGCAGAAGTCTGAAATTCGTTTCCCCTCAATCCCCCAGCTGGAAAGAGTCATCCAGGCTGGGTTCAGTGCAGCGACCTCCTTTTTGCTTCTTGTCTTTTCCTTGCCAGATACATTTGCAATTGGCTGGCCTTCTATTTTATAACCTGCAGCTGTAGAAATAAGATTCCCTGTTTCCTTTTAATGTGATTCAGAATGGCATATTGAGCTGGACAATCTTACAACTATCAAAATAACCAGGGTCTTAGTTCTATGGTCATCGCTTTGAACTTACATTTACATATGGAATTGAACTGGATAGCAGGAGTACAAGGAAAGTAAATGAGTGCTCCCTGTCATTCTTTTTTTATATATATAACAAGTTTTCCAATTTTCCATTTAAGTATTTAGAAAGCAGCGTGGTGATTGGGTAGTCAATAGTACAATAACAAAATCTTTAGTACATGTCTCAGGTTAGTTACATCATCAAAAAATTCCTTCTTTATTTCCCTCAACATTTGCTATATCATATTTAAGCTAGTAAATTTGTAATTATAACAAGCTCAGTTAAAACATTTATCAATATATTTATGCTTATACATATCCATGTCCTGTATTTAAATTTTACCTAATTTTTAATTACAATATTTCAATTTAACCTTTAATATCCATAGTATTTAAATTTCGGGTAACCCAAATTTCCTTTATTTCATTACATAAAAATTATAATACCTAAAATACACCTATTACTTACTTAAATATATTCTTATTTTATTTCATAGACATTTTCTATTTCTCATCCTAGTACATCACACTTACTAACGGAGTATGTTTATTGTCTCAAATCCATCGTCTATGTTATCTGGGCTAAACAATAATTCAAAGCTATTTCTTAATAATTAATTTTCATTTCCCTTATACATCTAAATCCTCAATATTCGGCCAATTAATCCCTTATTTTTTATCATTTGTATAGGTAGATTTTCTCTAAAAGAATGTGTCCCCAAAATTGTCCTTCAAATCATCTAATGATGCACTTATCATAGCTGTAATTAAATCCATTCACCTTGTTGCTGGTTGTCCTCTAGTTTTCTTTCCTTTATCTTTACCCAGCACTATGGACTGCTCAAAACAGAATGACCTTCATAGAATATGCTAAAATATGGCCATTTGTTCCTTCTGGTTTAATTTGTTTAATTTGTTTGAGGATCTATTTATTAATTTTCTTGACTATCCATGGTATTCTCAAGACCCTTCTTCAACACCAGCATTCAAAAGCTTCAAAAGTCTATCCATCCTGCATAGAGACCCAGCAGGAAAAGCATTGCCAACATGATTCTAAACTTTGTAGGTATAGACAAATCACAGCATCTGAACATTTTTTTGCCCTAAGGCCTTTATTGCTACCCTATCAAGAGTTAGTTTATAATATATTTCTTCTTTGGTGTTCCTTTATTGGTAAAAATTGAACCGAAAAGGTAGAAGCTATCCATTATTGAGTTGTGGTGGCACAGTGGTTAGAATGCACTACTGCGGGCTACTTCTGCTGATGGCCAGCTGCCTGCAGTTTGGCAGTTCGATTTTCACCAGCTCAAGGATGACTCAGCCTTCCATCCTTCCGAGGTCAGTAAAATGAGGACCCAGATTGTTAGGGGCAATATGCTGGCTCTGTAAACTGCTTAGAGAGGGCTGTAAAACACTATGAATGGTATATAAATCTAAGTGTTATTGCTATTGCTATTATTTCAATGTCTTTTGTTATCAGTTTGGTTTTCTTTTTATTCAGTTGTAGTCACACCTTTTTCATGCACTCTTTGACTTTCATCACTAGAGTTTTAAGATGATTTGCATTTCTAACTAACAAAAGTTATTGATGTATCATTCTCTGATTTAAAAATATGCACATCTTCTTCCAATCTAGCCTTCCTTAGTACACATTCAACTTATAGGTTGATTAATTAAGGAGAAAGTGTATAGCTTTGTCCCAAAAGCACTTATCCAAAAGGCAACTGGACTTTCTTGGTTTTTCCTTGAAAACATTTTACTTCTCATCCTAGAAGCTTCTTCAGTTCTGGCTTCAGCTTGGATGAGAATTGAAATGTTTTCAAGGAAAAAAAAAACAAGAAAGTCCAGTTGCCCTTTGGAAAAGCACCTTTGGAACAACCATGACTTGGATGACTGAGAATCTCCATAGACATATATAGCTTTGTCTTACTCCATTGCAGACTGGAGCCAATCCATTTCACCATGTTTTATCCAGACTGTGCCTTCTGGTTCTATGAACAGAATAGATTTTGCATTAGGACAATGAGATGTTCAGCAATTTCAGTTTTTCTAAGGATATTCCATAGCTTGACATAATAAAAAAAAAACCTGAGTTTTTTTCTTGTAATCACTGAAGCACACATTGACTTCTTTGTGGCATTCTTTGGCTTTTTAAATTAAAGTCAAAACATAAATTTGAGACTTTATAATTTTGGAAATTAGACATTAGAAGAAATTAGTAATAGTAGTAAAGTTGGAAGGGACCTTGGAGGTCATCTAGTCCAACCCCCTGCTCGGGCAGGAAACCCTACACCATTTCGGACAAATGGCTGTCCAGTCTCTTCTTAAAAACTTCCAGTGTTGGAGCATTTACTGCTTCTGGAGGCAAGCTGTTCCACTGATTAATTGTTCTCACTGTCAGGAAGTTTCTCCTTTAAAGATTCCACACAAAAAAGAAAAGCTAGCAAAGTTGTCTTTTTTTTGGTGCAACAGGCAAAATGAAATTCATTCCTCTAACCATCAACTATTGCCCAAAAGAAATTAAAAGAAGTGAATACCTAATTCTGAAACTGCACTTTGACTTAAGAGACCCTCACATTTATCATATCTAGCTCTTGACAACTGCAGTAATATGTGCAGCTATTGTTATACAAGAACAGTATATGACAAATACTTGTCATATATTAGGGGTCTCCAACACCCAGGCCACAGACTGGCACTGGTCTGGGGCCTGCCAGAAAACAGGCTATGTAAGCAAGCAAAGCCCCATCCACACACACATGGGATCCAGGCAGCACATGAAACCATACCCCTCCCCCCAGTCTGCAGAAAAAACACCCTCTATGGAGCTATCTCTGGTACCCAAAAGTTTGGGGGCCATTGTCATATAGTGTTTATATATTGAAATGTGGAAATCTGCACATTTTCATCCTCATGACTAACTTTGTTTGGGTTGTGGACCTACAAGTTGGAATACTGCCAGCTTCCAGGAGAAAAGCCCAATGCTCCAGGTGCATGGCTGAAGAATGGGCTCATGTTCCTAACACTTTTTTCCTTCTTACTTATGTACCGATTACTCACACATCTCATTATTAGTTACCCAACAGTTAGTCTTGCTCATATTGCAACATTCCTTGTTTTGTTTTGTTTTTTTTTTTTTAAGATAAAATAGCACAAAATGATCCCTAGCCAACTCTACTGGGAATTCTCACAGCTTGTTTCTTTCTGAGAAAATACATCTTGCCATCTAACTGTTCTACAGTGATTAAAGCCAGCAGTCTTCACTGAAAATTGTAATCCAATGAGCAAATACAATCACTAGATCTGAAGAAGCAGAGCTCCTTGTAACTTACAAAAACCTGTGAAAAAAAATTCAAAGATGAATCTTCTAGCACTATTGAGCCCCTTATTGTTATCCTTCCATAGGCTTACAAGAAGTAAATCTGTCCAGGTGTGTCCTCAATCAGCTGAAGACAACTATCTTGACTTCTGCTTTGAAGAACTCACTTTTTGCATCTCTGCCATAGTAATACATTATACACATTAAAAAGATATTCTCTCTTTTGCAGGGAATTCGGGAAAACAAGGACTCAGGTAAGTTTGATTTATATTTATAACTCTTTTATAAATCATTGTATATGTTAAATTTGGATTGCTAACAAAGAGTTAAAGGGAGACGGGTATAGCTATTTTGAGCTACTTAGCTCTCCTCAGCCAGCATAACCTTCTGAGATTCGAAGCTGGGCTGCTTGCATGTTAGGCAGCTGTGTTGACCTCTAGGCCACAGGCTTTTTCTTACTTTGCCAGCTGTATCAGGGAGGGAAGAGACCAGGGGAGGAGATATGTCTTAAGTGTTTTTTTACGATGCACTCTGTCGGCTCACTGGAACCAATGGAACCACTTTGGCCTTTACTACCCACATTCCACAGAACCAGTTTGGTATAGTGGTGAAGTCACTAGGCTAGAAACCAGGAGACTGAATTTTACTCATGCCTTATGCAAGAAAGGTGTAGGCTGGGTGACTCTCTCTCAGCCCAGCTAAGCTCACAGGAGAAAATAGGAGGAGCAAAGAGTATTAGGTATTATGTCACTGAGGTAAGAGAAAGAGGCAAAAATGTAGAAAAAAGGAGAAAGAAAATCAATATAAAGAAGTGACTTCTGATTTTCTTTTATAACAGTTCTAAGTAAATTATCATCTTACTTCATGTTTACTACATTACTAACATTTTCTGTAATCTATTTTTTTCTAATTACCAAGGCTACATTTCATATCATTTTCATCTTTTCTGTTTTGTACACAAAAATCAATAAGAGATTCCAGTCAACATTAAACTTAGACAATGTCTTTTCTCCAATCAAGGTTGTCATTTTGGCTATCAGTTAAGTTTTCAATTTTGTGCTAATGTCCCGAATTATAGCAGATTATTTCTGGTTTATCCAGATAAGAGGAAAATTGTCAGATCTTTGAGTTTATAACACCTTTCCTTAATCTGACATATGGAAATAGAATTCCTGTCACATGGGAGGCTTTCTTTCTCCTTCTTCAAATTAAATAAGTCAGTATGGTGGCTAGAAAGTATAGCCCCATAGGACTGTGTGTTACATCATTAGTAAAAGCACAAATCACTCCAAAGCCACATTTCGAAAAATTTCACAAGCTCCTTCTCAAGAGCTCTGCAGGAAAGTCTTCAGACAATTAAAAAGAGCTTAGACAGCTGACAGCAGGCAAGTACATGTTATTATTGCTGTTATTTTTCATAGACCCTCAAGCACAAAAATACAGCTGTTTTAAACTCTGGTGCAACAGCTAATTTCATAATGACATTATGATGCATTTGGGTTATCAGATAATCCTACTAGCTGAAATACAGTAACTGACAAAAATAATTGCTTCAAGCTTGTCCTCTTTTGTAACTCCTCTACAAGAAAAAAAAAAGGCCGAAGTAATTCTTGCCACTCCAGTCCACAAGTTCTTTCCATGTCTCCATAGTGCTGGGCATAAACTGGCTATAAAATTATAAGCCTAATAGCTTCTGGAAGTAAGAGACTATTTTTTTTTATCTCAAAAATATCTGCAGTGCCATTTGCAGGCATCCCATTCTTTTCTTTCTCTCACTCCTGCACTCCTGCTTGAATTCTTTTCCTTGCAAGAAAAGTACCAAGATTTCGCTGATATTTTTGCAGAAAAGGGAAAAGCTATCTTGCCTCCCATACAATGAGCGTGTGAATTTACTGTTCAATGTGAAACCAAAAGACTAGAACCAGCTAAAAGACACTACTCCATATTTATTCAAGAGTTAGCTATTTAAAAAGACCCTCTGGGTGACAGTCTGGAGAAAAGATTCATCTGCCCTTTGTCTTCAACCACATCTGGATCATTATTTTTTTTATTAAAAGAGAATTCTTCTTTGAAGCCTATTCATGATTATAAGTTGCTTAACCATGTGACAATTGGGAACCACTACTCTCTGCCACTTATTCCAGATCTACTGGATAGCCTTCAGAAAGCAAACATCTTTACTAAACCGGACCTGAGAAGAACTTACAATTTGATCCCTATGAAAGAGGGCCATTAATATTAGACAACTTGTAGCACTCAATCTGGAAAATTTGAGTAATGCACTTTGGAATGATTAATTGCTTCATAGTCTTCTACTGATTAATGGATGGAATATTTTCTGCTATTTTAGGTGAATATGAAGTGTTTTACGTGACACACTGATTTTTTAGAGAAGATCTGTCCTTATACCAGACCTTATATCATATGTCCTTATATCTGTGCTTATATCATATTAAAAATGTCCTATAACACCTTTGTCAACACAAGCTGTCTGCTACATGGATAAGGGGTCTAGGATGTTTAGTCACTGACCCTTGGCTGCTCCCCCTTTGCACCCAACCATCTCAGCTGATTTCAACTATGGAAATATTTCTCAGAGGGAACAATTTACCCCCTACAAGTACCCACATTCCTTCAACTGGCACATATATTCTCACTCTACATTAGTTCAGATAGGCACAATTTTTCTCTTATGTTAATTTTTATACTATCTGTATTACACTAGAATTGTTGGATGCACTGCCATGCAAGCCTGAATATGATATTTCTTGGTAATACTCAGCACCACATTCTTTTTTTTTATATTATTGAAAAGTTTTATAAAAGTTACAATATACGCCCCAAAACCCACCCACCCTTAACCCCTCCTCCCCCTCCCCCACTTCCCAGAGCTGAGTACAGGGTAACAAATATAATAATCATACTCTAACTAACACTAACCAACTATGTAAATAACCAAGTCCGTAATGCACTTTAACTCCCCTTTAACATAAAAATAAACAAATTAAAAATAAACATAATCTATAAACAAGTTAATATCCTAATTCTTGAACAATACAATATCCAAATTGTTAAACAATATTAATACTAAAAATAATAATAAAACTAATAAAAATTCCACTATAGTAAACTATTAATAATAATAATACTCTAAAATTTACTCATAAAGTAAATGGAACTTTTTAGTCCCATATTTATTCTGAATATAATCTATCCATCTTCTCCAAACCGAAATGTATCTTTCTTGTGAATGATCCTTCAAATAAGCAGAAATCTTAGCCCTTTCTGCTAAATTTGAGACTTTAAGCGTCCATTCTTCTATAGTAAGCAAACAATCCTTCTTCCAATATTGCCCTACCAATAACCTTGCAGCTGTTATCAAATTCAACATCAAATTAGTTTCTTTAGCATCACAATCTACAATAACACCCAATAAAAATAATTGTGGAGTAAACTTTATCTAATATTCTGTAAAAATTCTTGCTTTTTAAGTAAATAGCCAAAGTCTAATACACTATTTAAACTTTTTTTCCAAATGTAGCTCTTTCTTAACACTGTCCTTTCAAGCAAAGAAATAACATTCCACCATTTTTTCCTTTAAGTCAAATTAAAGTATGGAGAAGATTATTTCTCCCCGAGTTAAAGTTTCAAGCATTCACAATTTTAACTTCTCCTGGTCAGCTCCGTCTGCTTTTAAATTACTCACAAGTCCCTTTCAAGTGCAGATGTGGGTGCGGCATCTTGCTTTGCTCCTAAACCTCGGAACAAAGGCGTCCGGAGCAGCACCACATTCTTAAAGCAGAATAATACAACTAACATCACTACTGCCTAAAAGGGCACCCATAAAAGCTAGGAATGGGGAAATAATAGATTCGTTAATTAGATTTGTTTGCAACAAGAACAAGATCCAAACACCAGGGCCAAGAGCGAGGGCTGATGTCAAGGGCTATGCTTCATCCTGTCACATCTGTCACAGGGCTAAAGACTGTCATGACTAAATACACCAAATTAGTTCAGTTGCTTGGACTATGGATTCCTGTCTCTCTGGATGTTATTATTAATCTTTCAGCTGTATAAGGGTATAACACTATTTTGGTGATAGATTTGTTTACCATGGTGGCTTATTTTAATCCCTGCAAGGAGTTACTAATATGCATAACTTTTTCTAGGCCATGTTTTTACAGAAGCTGAGCCAATTGTGTAACCTCAGACCTCAACACTCAATTTATACCCAGGTTTTGGAAGGCTCTTCTCCACTTCCTGGACATTTGTATTCGTTTATCCTCATTTGTATTCATTTATCCTCATTTATTGAACAATTAGAGAAAAGAAACACTTGATTAGTGTTAGCATTGTTATATTTCTTACCAGGAGGAAAATTGGATTGAATTACAGATTCTTGCAGAATTTTCCTATAACATCTTGCTGCACTCATCCTCTCTCATCATGTCTCCCTTTCAAGCAAGTTATGGCTACAATCTCCACATATTGATGTTCAGAGTTCCAGCCTCCATTGTTCCTTGAGCAGCTTTTTCTAGAGAGACAAGCTGCTCAACTTTTATTAAAGGAAAAGCTAGATTTGACCAAGGGTGTGTAAACAAATGTAACAAAAGTTCAAAGACAAGACTGCAGCGAGATTGCGATGGGGGATTTGGATTACCTCCTTCTACGTTTTTACATTCTTCTTGCCTAAGAACCCAGACTCAAAATTTATTGGCTGTGTCCTTGTTATGTATCAAATTAGCTCAGTGGCCTTGTGCCTATAGTTGTCTATAATCCTCACTCAAGATTCAAGTCTTTCCTTGTTCATGGGGAGTTTCCCTGTCCCTTGCATTTTGTACCTGTCTCCCCACCTGACCCCCAATGTTTCTGGCAGATGAGGAAGAGGAATGCAAAGTGGAATGTATTCTAGATTGTAAACACAGAATGGTATTCTTAGAATATTGTATTTATTGGAAGGGCTAGTCTGAATTAGAGAGGTTGTGAGAAGGGGTGAAAGATGCCCACATTGTCTGCCAGTACCCTCTGAAATTCTTACACAAGTTCTGTCCCACAAACTGCCTTCATAATCACCCTGTGATGATCCCCAAGACAAAGGGGAGTTTTTGTTTCCTGCCACATTAGATCTTTCAGTTGTCAGTGCTGGACAAGAGGGGGGAATAGGCACTTTCTTGTTCTATCTACTTTTCACTTCTGGACTTACTTGCTGACTCTAGCAAGCTGATAGACCTATCTGCTGGTCAGAAAAGAGATACCGGTATTATTATGCATCCATTGCCATTCATGGATTCCCATTTTCCTAGATGGGAAAGGCCAGGGATTCTGACTGGGGAGGAGATATAAAATAATGTAGATTTGACCTTGTGATTAGGGGTTGAAAAAGCCATTAAGGGGGGGGGGACTTCTAGAAAAGGTTATTCAGTGCTGAGAAAGAGGAAAGATGAGAAAAATAAAATAAAAATAACTCCTTGCACTTTTGTAGCACAGCATGGGGCAGACAAAAACTTGGTTCAGGCTTTGAAGATTTCATTATTCTATCTGACTATAATAAAGAATATCTTTGGAATCTCTGCCATGCTTGTTTCTTGACTCTGCCTACCTCATTTTTCTTTGCAGGGGAAACTGAATTTCATCAAGATGATATTGTTTATAAAAGAAGAACACAGAGAAGTGCCATGAGCTGTAGTGGAAATTGTTTCTGGCCCAGATCAGAAGATGGCCTGGTCAAGATCCCAGTTAATATCTCTCCCGATTTTTGTATGTCTCAGTCTCTCCAATGAGCATCCTTTCATACAAACAGAATTAAAGAACCATTTTCAATAGATAGCAACAAATAGAAGCTATTACTGATACTTTCTACAATTTATTCAGGTTATTTTCCTATTCCTGCTGACCAAGATTACAGCAGGCCTGATCACAATGCGAGTCATTGCTAATAGATAGGATTCTCATTCAATCAATAATAGCAGAATTTTATAGTATTGTTTTTAATTTTCCTATTTAAATTCTATTAGTGAATTCTATTAGTAGAACTGTATTCACATTCTAAGAATAATTACAAATGAAGAAAATATCTGTAGTACAAGATTGAACTGTGGAGTTCTTGGTGCTCTGCTCTGGCTGTTTCCTTGCAGATGTTTCATTACTGAACTAAGTAACATCATCACTACCTAAAAACTGCAAGCATCAATAATATTAGCTGTAGTACTAAAGTATATTATATACAGTCCAAGTTAGGTTCGAGTGATATTAAAGACAACTGGAATTCTTTTATTTCCAAATGGGTTTTGATGATATAGCTAAGATTGCAAGGGATTCAGATTGTCCTGGAATCAATAATAAAATATTTTCACATAAGAACCCACCTTTATACAGAGTCAAACCAATGGTTTAGCTAGCTCAGTACTGTTAAAACTACAAGGCAACAGCTCTTGAGGGTTGGGTCACTTATAAAATAATTCTTGATGCCTACAACTCAAAGAGTTCTCTGCAAAACTCTTCCACTTTGGATGCATTTGTAGCAGCAGTGGAATTCAAATATGTGAATAACCAGTTCTTTGTGCCGCTTCTGGAAGTCCCTTCTGGGCCTGGGCAACAAAAAATTAGCTACCAGTTCTGCCAAACTGGTGTGAATCAGCTGAATCCCACCACTGATTTGTAGGAGACAAATATGATAACTGTTCACCATAAAACTCCTGCCCTACCAGGTTCTTAGTTTATAATTTCATTGCAACCGAAGGATATAATGATTAAATACATGGGAAATAATCATTTGAATACTGTTAAATTAAATTAATTCAATTAAAGGAAATTCAGCTTTCAGCATGCCTGATCTCTTCCCTTGTCTGACACACTGAAATGCTTTTGCAGTGTGATTCCTGGCGTACCATTCACTGGTTAATATTGTTTTGGCTTAAAAAAAAATTGCAGATCCTTAACCAGAAGGCTCATTTTGATAGGATCTCGTGGTTTGAAATGCTTAAAAAAAGAATTGCTTGACAAATATTTATATGCAAGGGATTTCAATCTTTATTGGATGCTTGGAGTGATAGCAAAATACTGGGTTGTTTGTAACATGGCCAGATTAAGATTTATTTGCAAAAAGTTTTCATGACAAATACTATAGAATAAACATAAACTTAACACAGTTATTAAATTGTTCACATGGCTTATGCAAATGGAACCTCCCCTTCCTTCTCCTCCAGACTGAATTCCTTCAGGGTAGCCTTTAAAAAGAATTAAGTCTTGTGGGGCTTTCTTTATCTAGTCCAGAGTCTTATTCACTTGGTGGCATTCTGATAGAGTTATTTCAAATTATGGACTTTCATCATTCCAAATACACAAACAACCTCATGCAGATGTGAGATCAACATACATTTCAAGTGTGTTGTAACTTCCCCCTCTATTAGGTATCCCAATAGAAAGGCCTCAAAAGAATACTAGTTTCCAATTTTCTAAACTTCCCTGAAATTGGAACCCTTAGCCAAATTGTAACTATTTCCTAGCCATAGGATAAATAAGGGCAAGAGAAACCTTGTCATTTGAGTGGAAGCCATTTAAATAACAGCAGCAGCAGCAGCAGCAACAAGAACATTAAAGCAATCTTTCATCAAGCATAAATTTTATTTTTCAGAAGCAAATGTATTTACTGTTAGAGTAATCCCCAGAAGTGAGCAGTTTTCTCATATCAGCAAAAATGATTTTGTTTCAGCCGTGGAGCACAAAGATGTGATAATTAAAGCAATGGAAGAATTTGTTACCCTGACATGCATCCGGTTTATCAAACACACAGTAGAATATGACTACATAAACATTGTCCCTGGAGATCGGTAAGGAACATTTATCCTTCAAGAATTAACAACATATTCCTTGCATTATTTCTGCTGTTGTATTTCTACATTACAGCAAAGATTCGTGGTGTAAGATGTGAGCACATATTATGTGGATTAAGCTCAATATCTTTCTTAACAAAGATAATAATTTATCAACTCAATTCCTAGAGCACAGGGGAATTATTTTTTTTTCAACCACAGAACCCTGCTTGTTAAAACTGCAATACAATGATATTGAATTTCGAACCTGATGCCTTAAACACAACACAGCATAGACTTACCTGTCCTTTTATAGACAATGATTTTATATTCCTTAGAGTATAATTTACATAATGGCCTCTTTTCCATTCTGTATTATCAGATGCTGGTCCTATTTTGGAAAGATTGGAGGCAGACAGCAACTCAGTTTGTTGAAAAATGGCTGCATATATAAAGGATTGATTCAGCATGAGCTCAACCACGCACTAGGCTTTCTACATGAACAAACCCGCAGTGACCGAGATAATTATGTTAAAATTAACTTGGAATATGTTGCCAAAGGTAGGCATGTTAGCACTCAAACAGCATTTTGTTGCCTGAAGTGAGTGGTCACTTTGGCATTTCTATTTCTCACAACTGTCTGTCCATCAAAGCATTCTGGATGTAATGGGCATTAAATCCATTTAGAAGTACAGTCATGGCTGGGAGTTGAAGTCCACAAGTGTTAAAGTGGCCAAGTTTGAGGAGTCCTGGTTTACGGTGAAGATTTAATTAGGCCTACAGTAAGTATCTGTGAAATTTCAGACTTCTTTGAGATTCTAAAGCTTTCAAAGCAGCCAGAGTGTGACTTCAAAACAAATCTTTCTCTGTAAGGTAGTTCTCAACTTAGGACTTTCATTGAGATGAGAACTTCTGTTGCTAAATGATGCTGTTATTAAGTGAGTCATGCCTGATTTTGCAACTGTTTTTACCATGGTCTTTAAGTGAATCACATAGTCATTAAACAAATCCAACTTTCCTATTGGTTTTACTTATTGAAAGTCCCCTGGAATGGTCAGAAAGGGTGATCACATAGCCCTTGGGATGCTGCAATTGTCCTAAAAGCATATGCCAGTTGCCAAGTGCCTGAATCATACGTATGAGAACTGGTTATAGATTACTTTTTTTTCAACTGGTATAACTTTAAACAGTCATAACAAATAATCATAAATAGAGGACTACCTGTAGTTTTTCCGGGTATCTGTTAACAATAAATACAGTTAATAATATGTGTTAGAATGTATTGTAAAAGCTATGTAACTAGACTTTTCTTTGTTCATATATGGTCTTATACTAGAAGTGCCCTTATTTGTATTGGTCTAGAACAGAGGTCCCTAACCTTTTGAACACCAGGGACTGGTTCCATGAAGAAAGGTTTTTCCACAGACTGAAGAGGGCATGGTTTCGTGTGCTGCCTACATACCATGGATGGGGCTTTGTTTGTTTGTGTGGCCCAGTACCAGTCCATGGATTGGAGGTTGGGGACCCCTGTCCTAGAGGTTTCAAGATGGCTTTGCCTTCAATGAGGAGGCATAGATAGCTTTAGATTTTACATTAGCTATGGATCAGTAAAAGGCACTGCATAACCTGTTTTGCCTTTATAGGGAGTCTCCTGAGTTACTGTGTTTCCCGAAAGTAATACATACATGGACAATAAGCCCTAGCTAATATAAGCCCTATCCCAAAAATAAGCGCTAGTTTTGGGGTGAGGCACATACCTAAAAATCAAGCTAGGGTGGGGTGGAAAGGTGGAGTGCCCCATGTACCCCACACCCACTTACCTTGCAGCCAGGCCTCTCCTTGCCAGCCCACTTCTTCTTCTGAGGCCTCTTCTGCAACCAGGCCTGCATTTCTCAGTCACAGGGCTTTCCAGAAGGTCTGTGCAGCCAAGAACCGAGCTATGGATTCAATCCATAGTTCAATTCTGCAAGAACTCAGCAGCCAAGCACCAAGCTATGGATTCAATCCATAGCTCAGCAGTCAGCTGCTTAGGCCTTCTGGAAAGGCCTGACTGCAAAATGCAGGCCTGAATGCAGCTGCAGAACTTTGGCCCCAGAAGAAGTGGACCAGCTGGGTGGGGCTGTCAGTGCTGGAGGTGAGGTAAGGCCTACCCTGAAAATAAGTCCTGGTGCCTCTTTTGGAGGCAAAAAAAAAAGTAAGATCAGTCTTATTTTCAGAGAAACATGGTAGGTATCCTTCAAACTCGAAGCTCTATGTTCAATTCTTTAATGAGATTTGAACCTAATATGGAGGATACCTATCTTGAAGAGGTCCAATAAGGTCAAAATTGGTCATGGGTGCGTCTATTGGTCAGTAACTAATATTATATAACATCCAAAATATATGTTAAACTTGGACCTTCAGTTGTGATGAGAAAATACAGTGCAAATCAATACTATTTCTGATTTCCAGAAAGCACAAAGATGCTTTCAGATGTCTTCAGAGATAAGCTCCTTAAAGCATGGATGAAAGTTTTCCTGATCTTTTTTCCATTTTTATAAAGTAAAAGCTTTACTCAGATGTTTGAATCTAAGTATTCAGTTCCACCCTGAAAAATCATGACTCCAGAGCTTAGATATTCCTGCTTTCTTTTTATTTTATTATTAAAGGATTAGTGGCCATGTAATAAAGTTTACTTAGTCTTGCAAATCACGGATGACCACACCCAATTTTATGATTCTTTTTAGCAGTGATTCAGAAGCAAGCCCAGCAGTGATAAAGCGAACGTGGCAGTCATTAAGCAAATCCGTTGTCTGCAATGACTTTTTTTTTTTTTTGCTGGAAACCAAAAGTTAACACTGGTTTCAGAGAAAATATGTTGTACTGTACAATGGGGTTATGTGACTACCAGATGCTGCAAACAACCATAAATGTGAATCAATTGACCATACCCAAAATATGATCACATGACCATTTGGGGGGCTTTTGGAACTTCAAATCTGGGTTGTAAGTAGTCCTGGGTGGGGGGGGGGTAACTTCAAATAATCACTGAGTGACAGGATAATCATTTGACTGAGATGGCAATAGCAATAGCACTTAGACTTATATGCCACTTCATGGTGCTTTACAACCCTTTCTAAGTGGTTTACAGAGTCAGCATATTTTCTACAACAATCTGGGTCCTCATTTTACCAACCTCGAAAGGATGAAAGGCTGAGTCAACCTTGAGCCCTTGAGAATCAAACTGCGGAACTGCAGGCAGCTGGTTGTCAGCAGAAGTAGCCTGCAGTGTTGCATTCTAACCACTGCGCCATCAATGGCTTATGGCATAGAAATGGCATGAGGCTCCTGTCTTAAGCAGGGGTTGTACTAGAACAGGAATAGGCAACCTTGGCTCTTTTATGACTCATGGACTTCAATTCCCAGAATTTCTGACCCAGCTATACTATGCCGGCTTAGGAATTCTGGGAGTTGAAGTCCATGAGTCATAAAAGAGCCAAGGTTGCCTACCCCTGGTGTAGAAGATCTCTGAGATCCTTTCCATCCCTATGATTCTATGGCATAACTTAAAGACCATCTGTATTATCTTTATCACAATGGCTGAATTCTCTCATCTATTATATATATATAATGTATATGTGTATAATAATAATAATAATAGTAAAGTTGGAAGGGACCTTGGAGGTCATCTAGTCCAACCCCCTGCTCGGGCAGGAAACCCTACACCATTTCGGACAAATGGCTGTCCAGTCTCTTCTTAAAAACTATTGAGGTCAGGCTGATAGGTCTGTAATTTCCTGGATCCATTTTTTTTCCTTTTTTGAGGATGGGAACTACATCAGCTCTTTTCCAGTCCTCTGGTAGTTCCCCTGTGTTCCAGAATCTTTGAAAAATATAGTTCAGTGGCTCCGATATCACATCTGCCAGTTCCTTGAGAACTCTGGGGTGTGATCCATCTGGTCCTGGCGATTTGAACTCATCTAGGCTGGACAGGTGCTCCCTAACCATTTTCTTGCCTATCTTAACTTGTGTTTCTGTTTTGTTTTTTATGGCAGTATTTTTAATAGGTTGGTCTGTTTTTTCCCTTTGTGTAAAGACAGATGCAAAAAATGAGTTAAATAGTTCTGCTTTCTCCCTGTTGCTTGTCACCTTCTTGCCACTTCCACCCACTAATGGACCAATCGTTTCCTTCAATTTTTTCTTGTTTTTTACATGTTGAAAGAAGCTTTTTTTGTTATTTTTGACTTTGGTCGCAAGCCTTAGTTCATTTTGAGCCTTGGCTTTCTTCACTTCATCTTTGCAGACTCGGGCTATTTGCTGATATTCTGACTTAGTTATGTTCCCCTCTTTCCACTTTCTGTACTTGTCCTTTTTATCTTTCAATTTGTCAGAGAGTTCTTTATGCAGCCATGCTGGTTTCTTTTGAGAGCTGTTATTTTTCCTCTTTGTTGGTATTGTGCTAGACTGTGCTTTTATTATCTCATTTTTCAAAATTTCCCAAGCTTCTTGAGTTGTTTTCCCCTTGAGGATTCTCATCCATGGAATCCTTCCCAAGCCCTCTCTAAGTTTATTGAAATTAGCTCTCTTGAAGTCCAAGACTCTAGTTTGACTGTGTTCTATTGGTTGTGCTTCTATAATGTTGAATTCTAATATTGCATGATCACTTCCTCCCAGGGTTCCTATGGCTTCAACACCGTCTATCATTTCATCTCTGTTAGTGAGAATTAGATCCAAAATGGCTAATCCCCTAGTTCCCTTCTCTACTTTTTGGGAGACAAAGTTGTCTGCTAGGTTTGCCAGGAACCTGTTTGATCTTCCACTTGGTGCGGAGTTTGTCTCCCAGTTGATGTCAGGGTAGTTAAAGTCCCCCATTACTATTGTGGTGTGCTTCCTACATACCTTAGTTAGCTGTATGTGTATGTATGTGTGAGTGTGTGTGTGTGTGTGTGTGTGTGTACTATTAATTGAATTCTATGTTTTGAATTAATTAATTTGAATTCTATGTTTTGTTAACAGTTTTAATGGCTCATTGTCTGATGTGACTCTGCTGTGCTAATACGATAAGATTGAATTAGATTCTATTAATAAAATCTTCTTACAGGATAAAGTTTAAAAGCAATCAGAAATTCACAAATCCTTAAATCTGAAATATGTGAATGAAAACCTGCCTTCCTCCTCTTTTCTCTTTGTGTTTTGCATTGGTGGCAAATCTGTTTATTATTTACTTTAATATATTTCAGGAGAACGGGGGAATTTTGAGAAAGAGAATACCACCAATCTAGGTCTTCCATACGACTATGATTCAGTTATGCATTATGGCGCGTAAGTTTATTAACGGAGTAGTTGACTGAATTTATATAGTCACCCAACTTCAGCACCATAACTACTGGCACACACAATAGATATTAAACAAAACAGAATGAACAGTTTCAGTTAAAATCCAAGCTTCATTTTAGGGTATTTTCTTTTTTCTGACATAATTTCTTGTGTTTATAGAAGAAGGAATCTGCACTGTTTTCAAATAAGGATCCTTCTTTTAATATCAGAAAAAAAATATTTCTGTTATTTTCTTTTGAGAACAGTGTTTAATTTCTAAAGAGTAAGGAAGCAGGGGAAAAGATAGATGTTTAAATCTGAAATGTAGTTATGTAATTAGTGTTCGGTACTTAGTTCTTTTCTGTAACACAACTCTAACACAGCAGAGTCATGACTGAGGGTCTTATGCCAAGTTATTCCAAGAACTAAGTGTCTGGACATCTGTGATTTATTACCACTCTTGGTATGGGGTTAGCAGTGTATGAGAACCAATAACACAATTGTCACTTGGGGGGGGGGGGGAGGGAGAGCCAAAACTATAAAGGCTTCATAGAACTTTTGGCTGAAAAGCATGGCTAAGTGATAGTTCTTTGATTGTTATTCAATGTGTTTGGCTTTAGGAATAATTTGCTCCAAGTTAAGGAAAGATTCAATCTGAATCTTCTACCTGAAACCAGTAGTAGCTCATCTAATTCAACAAACTCCCCCCCCCATAAAAAAGGAAGAAAAAAAGAACTAGACTAATCCCATTGGCTATAAGAAGTTTTTTGTTATATAATTTTGGGTCTTTGGAATTCTCTGAGTTTGGTTGTTTTCTTGCAGATATTTCATTACCCAAATTAGGTAACATCATCAGTGGTAGTGATGTTGTGATATTGATGTTGTAATGCTAGTGATAGCATTGATTACCTAGTTTAGCTAATGAAATAACTGCAAGAAAACAGCCAAGCTCAGAAAGCACTAAGGATCCCTCATTTCATCCCAGAGCTACAAATATTCTCCTTTATTGTTGTTAATAATTCTTATTAAAATAGGTGGGTTTGGTTTTGGTTTTGGTTTTGCTTCCAATGGATGGGAAAAACTCTCAGTACCACATTGTTGCCAAATTCAGTTCTCATGCTGATATGTGACAAATGTTTTCAGATGTTATCCTAGAAATTAATGGGATAGTTTTCTTGGCTTTGATCCTGATCCTGATTTTCCAGGATTGTCATTCATATTTTATATAAAATATGGGCTATTAATAAATTTGCCAAATTAGACTTTGTAATTTGTTTTGGCAGGTATGATTTTTCTAATACTGCTGGAAAACCAACCATTATACCCATTCCTAATGGATCTGTACCAATTGGTCAAAGAGTAGGACTGAGCAACTTAGATGTGAAAAAAATCAATAAGCTCTACAACTGCAGTGAGTAATAAAATATGTTGTTGCATAACAACACACTTTTCATCTTAATATTGTGAATTTTTATAACATTGAATTATAAGGCAGCCAAATTTAATAAAATAATTGGACATTACATGACATTATTCAACAAAGTGCTTTAAACTTAGGGAATAATTTACTGTACATCTGTTAATTAAGAGAAAGTTTAAGACAGTGTGAATTGGCTCAAAGTATGGAGTGTTTTGTATAAATATAATGTTCAAAAATAGCTGCTGAATGTAATAAGAGCAATATGTGATGGAAAGAATGCATCAGATCTTAGTGAGTGATTCTGGAAGTAAAATAAGGATGTACGATGTCATCTTGATTATTTAATGTATTTATGATTAAAGAAATGTATAGTGAATATACACTATACTATGACTTAGTTAGGGACATGAAAGCTTATGTACTTTATGGATCTAAAAATGTATGCATTAAAGATAAAATAGGTGAAAAATTAGAGCAAGTAGATGGACTGGTGTACCTAGGGAGAATGTTTACCAAAGATGGAGAAATGAAAGGAGAAATGTTACAATATGCAAATGATGCTGGGAAAACAGTGATTCATTATAATTAATGCTTACTGAAAAAGCAAAAATGGCTTGGTATAAAACCTGCTTCTATCTACTTTGATATATGGAAATGAGCATTGGCTGTGTTAGAAGACATGTAAAATTAAATCTAATGGGTTATTTAAGAAAAGCACATGATAAATAAGAAAAATGAATGGGTAATAAGTGAATGTGAATGGAATACAAAACTGACTCACCGGTTTTTTCACATAAATTGAATAAAGATCAAATCTTAAAACAAATATATAAGATAAGAATGAACAAATTGAAAAGAGGGGAACATGGAGGAAGTGATAATTTAATGAAGTTGAAAGGATGGTGAGAAAAAGAAGAGTGAGAAATTTTAAGGAATAATGGGCCTTGTATGAAATGATGTATGGTGATGGTGGAAGCAAGATTTGCTTATTTACATAATGTTTTCTATGTATTACATAACTCTGTTTATTTGTAAAAGAGAATAACATTATAGATATGCATGTATTTATATATGTCTATTTATGAAATCTCTTTATGGATCTTTCCAAACACTTAGATGCTTATTGCAATTATTATTGCACTACATAGGTTGATATAGATTTCCATTCTAAAAATAACTATAGGAGGGTGGTGTAATCCAACTGATTCTTTGGGAGGCATTCAGTGGCTTGAAGTAACTGGAAAAAACAAGGGCTCTCTGGGATGGAAGAAAGCTAGGATGCATTTGTACCCAATGTGAGTTTTAGCTTTGGTGTCATGAAAGAAAAATGAGCAAAGGATATCCAATCCAATCATCCAAATAAAGCATGCCAAAAAGGTGCTATGAATTAGAAATGAGATGGACAAACAATAGCTCCATAAAATGTATTGAATAATGGAGCTATTTCAGAAATGGAATGGCCAGGACAGGAATGCCACTGTTGGAACATCATCTGATTTCAGGGAGATGTACTATATACTTCATACCGAACCAATAAGATGATAGCTTTGCTTGGATTCCAATCATATTTCTCAGACAAGGATGTGGGTTTTCTGGCATTGAAGGATTGTGGCTGATGAAAATATGTAATCTGTAATTTAATTCTCCTTTATATAATGAAATCATCACAAAGATGCCATCATTTTCCTCTATTAGTCTCTAATTATGGAAGCTCCAGATAGAAGAAACTCATATGACGCTTCCAATGCAGCTGTATTCTGGATTCTACTTCCATGCTGAGCACCAAGGCACTTCTGTGATGAAAGAATTAGCCAGCAATATCACCATTGCCTGGGGGATGCCCAGTTGGGGCCTCCTTTCATGTCCCCATTAATGAGCCATCAAAGTGGTACCTATTTATCTGCTCATGTTTGCATGCTTTCAGAGTGTTAGGTTGGCAGAAGCTGGACCAAAAGGCAGGCGCTCACCCCGCTATACAGCAGCACTTTGGCTTCGAATGCAGGCTTGCAAATTGGAAATCCAGTGGTCTAACCACGTGAGCTACTGTGCTCCCTTACTGTAATGGATGAGGCCATATTGTTCTCATTTACATATTCTCATCCATTCACCCACCATACTGGAACCGCTACTGCTGCTTCCATGAAAGCAAAATCTATCCATCAGCCAAATTCCAGAAGCTTTGTCCTTACCAACAAAAGGCCTGCAGAAGACAGAGTAGAGATCATTGCAATGCACGTACTAATGTTTCCAATAATATAAAAGCTAGTCTTTTGCATCCTTTTCTTCCTCCCTTATAGTAATAACATGTATTTTGATCTTGACTGAGTTAAAAATTCTGAATACATTGTTCATTGTAGAGTTGTGAGACCAGTGGGCCATTGACAGGTATTTCTCTGACATGGAATTTCATTACTACATTATCTTCTACAAAAGAATGACCTTTACTAAACTACATTGAAAGATATTTAATAAATGTGATTTTTCCTTTGTGAACCTAGATCATTTAGATGAATTTTCTGTTTAAATCTCTCCTCTTCCTTGCCAATGTGTTATTCTGTCCTTTAGATGATTGTAGCACTGTGCTACATAATCCAGGTGGCCATTTTTGCTCTTATAACTACCCCCATTCATATCCCAGAAACATCACCTGCTTGTGGCTCATTCAAACTCTACAAGGAAAGGTAAGGTGTTCAAATCAGAAATAATATATCATATCTCATATCATATTTCATATCATATTTCATATCATATTTCATATCATTTATTTTCCATGTCAGAATAGAAATATTTTTTTGGTCTGAGCACCACATTTTTTCATGATTGCCATTCCATGGGTTCTCTGATCAGAGTGAGTGGGAATCAGATAAAATGTAGGCAGAGTTAAAGTAAAAGCAAACAAGTCCACAACACATTTTCACTCATTTACACATATATGCATCACAGGGACTAGACCAGGGGTAGGCAACCTTGGTTATTTTATGACTCGTGGATTTCAACTCCCAGAATCCCTGAGCCAGCCATGCTGAGGGGAAAGGGAGAGGTTTCCAAGCTGAGCCATTCTGGCTTAGGAATTCTGGGAGTTGAAGTCCATGAGTCATAAAAGAGCCAAGATTGCCTACCCCTGGATTAAACAGTTACACAAAAACACATACATTCATATATATCCACGCAAGCATACATTTGAATGTTGTGTTCACACCTACTTTCTCAGGTGTTGATTTCTTTAGCTGGCGTGAGTAACAATACAATGAAAAAGGGGATTTTTTAAATTTACTTTAAATCCTCTTCAGATGTTCTTAACTGAAAATGCCTACTAAAGAAAGAAACTGTGACAGTTAAGACAGAAAACAAATATCTTGAATCATCTTTCTCCAACTTGACAAGCTCACCAAACAACTATAATTTCCAAAAATTTTGGGGTAATGGGTTGGGAAAGGCTAATATATTCTAAATTAAGAAGTATGTTGCATTTACCCAATTTTCATTTCTATCCATGGGTTGGTGCCTTTTGCTTATACAGTTTTACATATGAAGTTAATAAATCTTCATTGTGTTTCATGTGTCAGTACTGTGAACCATTCACCATTTCTCAGATTTAACAAGAGCTGCTTGAGAAATTAGTGAATCGGAGCTAACCCAAACTCTACTGCTGGCATGGAATGTTTGAGAATATGTTCAAAGCTCTTAGTATAGCACTTGACTAATTCCAACCATTCCCATAATCAGAACAACTGGTGGAAAAGGTCAAACAAAGAACATGGATTTCTATTTTAAAAAATCACTTGAAGATAAAATGTATTGCTCAGCGGTCTTGTTTGTTTATTCTCCTATTTGTTTTCTCCATGTTGAATTTCCTGATATATCAGAATTCAGTGAAAACCATAGTTATTGGCACAGTGCTGTGCTCTACAAATTCTTAATACTACTTTATAACGCCTTGGTAAGACCACACTTGGAATATTGCACCCAGTTTTGGTTGCCACAATATTAAAAAAAAAGTTAAGACAAGAAGTAATGGATGAAAATTAATCAAGGAGAGAAGCAATTTAGAACTAAGGAGAAATTTCCCGACCATGAGAACAATTAATCAACTTGCCTCCAGAAGTTGTGGGTACTCCAATACTAGAAATTTTTAAGACGAGATTGGACAACCATTTGTCTGAAATGGTATAGGTTTCCTGCTTGAGCAGGGAGTTGGACTAGATGACCTCCAAGGACCCTTCCAACTCTGTTATTCTGTCTACAGAACATATTCATTAACTTTATTGCTGATTTTGCTGTAATTTTTGAGTGAAAAATATCTAATATGAAGCATCTTTTTAAATGAACTGTAGAAAAGAAATGGGCAGCTTTAGTTACAATATTTCTATTTCAGTCCTATGTATAACCAGACACTAATATAATGGAAGATAGTAGACAGCAGAGCAACATTTGAAAGACTACGTTGTAATTAGAAATAAAAAAATATATACTTTTATGCCCAGAATATAAAATGAAACAGGGAACTTAAGTTAAAAATGGAAGACCTTTTAGAAAACAAAAATGAAATTTCTCTATAGAAGAGTTAGATAAATGGACTGTAGAATTAATTTTAAACATATTAGTTCCATCATGTTCAGCATCTCTGTCTCAATCAGTTCTTAATTCTGGTGCAGAATAAAACATATTAAATACATAGCAAAAAATACCCTATAGTATGATGGGGTGACAATCAGCTATACATGACAGGTGTTTTTTCCCCAGCTTCCTTGTGTTATGTAACATGTGCTGTATCAGTTAAGGTATAGTGAATATCAGAAGATACCAAAATCAAGATAGACTTAATAAGAAGTCGTTTTAAATTACTTAAAGCTGCTTATTTTTCTTATTCTGCTTTAGATCTTCCTGAGTTTTCATGTTCTTGATCTCCAGAGTTCTCCAAACTGTTCCTCTGATTACATCCGAATTTATGATGGAAGCAGTAGAAAAGGTCGGATTCTCATTGACAAATGTTGCGGGGCAGGGCAATTACCTGCCGTGGTAGCTTCTGGGAACACAATGCTTATAGAGTTTGTAAGTGATGAAGATGAGACTGCAACAGGATTTATGGCCTCTTACACACATGGTATGAATAGTATTCACAGTGCTTTTTTTGTAAAAAAAAAAAAAAAGGTGCTGGAACTCACACACGTCATACAACCCACCTTGCCTTCCCTACAAGGTTCCATCCAAAAAAGGTGCCGGAACTCCGTTCTGGGCATTCTATGAGAAAAAAAGCCCTGGGTATTCATTACTAGTTACTTGTGAAATGACAAATCAGATACACACAAAATAAATCATTTACAATGGTTAAATGTATCTGTAACTTCACTTAATTTTACACCTTCCTTCGAAGAATCTCATTGAATTCTCTAAATGCAAAACTTTATGACTTCTGATTCATCAAACTCTATGATTTCTAATTTGGTGCTTATCTGAGAATCAGTTTCAATTCCAGTTTATGCAATTCCAGTAAATATTGTTTCCATTGGGTTCAGAGTAGCCCAATAACTTCAACACTATCATCAGTAGGAGGAGGATAGTCTTAGGATGAAACTATCTGCTTTGTCCTTTGTCATGTCTTTCTGAGCTATGAATTGTCATAGGATTTCAGACTTTGTCATTGTCTGCCAATTCTAAAGTATGTTAAAGATCAATAATTGGCAGATATTTCACAGGTCACCGGCCACCTTCTCTTTGGCTCTTGGCTTCTTTGAGTTTATATTTCTATGCTAACAAGAAAAAAAATGAAAAGGGGATAACAATTTCCAATGCTCTACAACAGGCATGTCAAACTCGTGATGTCACATGACGTCGTGCGACGTATCGGAACTTTTTCCCCGTTGCCAGCAATGGGGTGGGCACGGTTTCGGCATGACACATTCAGCCCGTGGGCCGGCAGTTTGACATGCCTGCTGTACAATGATTATTTTGCAAAGTCTTGCACTCCTGCTTAGAGTCTCAACAACCACACAACTAAAAACAAAAAGAAACCCTTTTTAAAATGTGTACGTAATGAAGTAACCCATTTTATTTTACATTATTATTTTATTTTACTTTACTTTATTTTATATTTTATTTTATGTTTATTATTTTATTTTATTATTTTACTTTATTTTACATTCTATGTTTTATTTTATTTCATTATTTTATTTATTTTATTTTACTTATTATTTACATGAAGTTTTCTTTTTCTTAACCATAGTAAAGTGTGGAGGAACATTCACTAATACTTCGGGAGTCATTACTACTCCAAACTTTCCTAAAAAATACCCTCCAAATCAAGCTTGCCTATGGATTATCAGTGCTCCTCCAGAAAATAAGGTAAGACGCAGTGGTACAAAAGACGATGGAAGGTCAAAAATGTGAAGATGGTGGCTCTAACTGTGACTGTAGGTTAGCCCTGTGAAATATTACAGACAAGAAGCACAATCAGTACGGCTGGTTGCCCAGTCTGTGGGTTTTCCTTCCGTCTCCCAAGGTGATTCCCACATACCATTATACAGTGTGATTGAAACCCTACCCTGTTTTATATGTGTTTAAATGTATGCCCCCCCAAAAAACCCCAGGTCTTCAATTATGTGGTTGTTACCCCTATTTTGACTTTTTGGGGGGGCCCTCCTGCATGAGCCCCTGAACAGAGATTACATTTAGAGAAAGTGAATTGGGTGCAGCTTGCAACTTTTTTCAGAAATATGTAGTGTTATGAATTTGTGAAATGACCCCCTGATTCAAAGCACAGCAATAACAAGGGAATGATTCATAATTTGCTCAACATATCCTTGAAAGCAACAGTCATTCTCCATCACTTCCACCATCACTTCCCAGTGTAAGGTTGATAGCAGTTGCAGTAGGACACTATCTGAAAGGCTGCAGGTAGTCTACCTGGGCAAGTTGGGCTCTTGAGGCCAAAAGAATATTACTTACATGCAAGAGAGACCATTAAGTGGGTTTGGACTATGAAGGGTTTTTTTTAAAAAAGGAATCATAAATGGGTGGGTGGAAAATTGAGTGGTATTGCCATTAGAGATGGTAATAAGTATGGTATTAAGATGATAATAATTGCACTCAATGTGTAGTCCTCAATGGAACTGCATCTATATGGAGGGAAGTATGCAGTGGAGTACCCCAAGACTCTGTTTTAGGCCCAATACTCTTCAACATCTTCATCAATGATTTGGATGAGGGGATAGATGGGAAACTCATCAAATTTGCAGACAACACCAAGCTGGCAGGAATACCCAACATTTCAGAGGACAGGCTTAAGATATAGAAGGATCTTGACAGACTTGAACACTGGGCCCTATTTAACAAAATGAAATTCAAAAAGTAAGGTTCTACATTTAGGCAAGAAAAACAAAATGTACAGATATAGTATAGGGGGTACCTTGCTCAATAGTGGTAACTGTGAGAGGGATCTCGGAGTCCTAGTGGACAATCACTTAAATATGAGCCAGCAGTGTGCTGCAGCTGCGAAAAAAGCCAACACTGTGCATTAACAGAGGGATAGAATCAAGATCATGTGAAGCGTTAATACCACTTTACAATGCCTTGGTATAAGACCATACCTGCATCCATTTTTGGTCCCCACAATGTAGAAAAGATATTGAGATTCTGGAAAGAGTACAGAGAAGAGCAACAGGAATGATTAGGGGACTGGAGGCTAAAACATTTAAAGAACAGTTGCTGGAATTAGGTATGTCTAGTTTAATGAAAAGAAAAAAATATCATAAAATTTTCCATATTACAATCATGTTCCCATTTTAAGACCTCTTCAATATTTTTTAGTCTTTCAAAAGAGCCTATTGTATTTGATTTAGAAATACTGAATAATGTTCAATATATATTCCTTTTACATTAAATGAAGTAGATTTGAAGCATTTTTTAAACACTGTTGATATTCTTCAGTGGTAAGTTATCATGAATTTAAGAAGAATGTATTATAATTATTTCATTTAAAAACAAGTTAGAATTTTCAATCAATTCTTTTCCAGTATATACTCAACATAAATAAGGTTTTTTATTAATACTCAAGTCAATAATAGTAGAAAGCACTTGATCTTGCCATTTCTTGTAACTGATCCTATTTAACCATGACAAAAGATAAATTATGAGAGAAAATGGGAAGGATTAAAGGCCAGAATCTGAGTTCATTTTTATAAATCTTTGTAAATATGGATTTATGATAGTAAATAGCACTTTTACTCTGAGATATTGAGAGTGCAATATTAACTCAGTTTGTAGCATCTGACCATATTTTAAGCTCCAAATAGTGTGAATTAACTGTTTAAATTGAAAAACATCAAAATAACATTTCAGATTAACTGACATCATACATTTTCTTATATAGTTTGTGTAATCTCAGTCACCATAATTATACATTAAAAAGCATTTTTCCAATATGTACACCCAAGTAAGAGATAAGGGGATTTGAAGCATTTGAAGCAGATATAAAAATTAGGAAAAGCTGTCATTTTAATTGCAGCTATTCTGCCAAGCACAGATAAGAAATCATGTTGTCATGACTTCAATTCTGTCTTAATGTTTTGAAAGAGAATCATAATTGCATTTTTAATTGATGCCAGTCTTTTGCTCTTAACTATCTAACTCTATCATTCTAGTGTAAAGCCAGAAGATTCTTGATAGCGTTTTTGTGATTATTTACTAATAGTGATAAAAATAGCCAATGATTTGTCAAAATCGATCTTAGTCTTGCTGTTGCATGACCTTTATTATATTCCCATTAGAGAAATCCAATGGTGGGATTCAGCCAGTTCACACCGGTTCAACAGAACCGATATCTAATTCTTTTGTTGAGTTCGACAAACTGGTTATGATAAATCTGAGTCTCCACTCCTGGCCTTCCCGTCTCCGGTTTTTCCAAGTTTTATCAATCCGATGCTGACGTTTTCTCTCTTGCCTCCTCCCTTCAGCCGTTGGGGTCTTGCTGCTCTCACACTCCTCCAGGTGACAGACAAGGTTCTCCAAAGCACCGACTGAAGCTGACGTCCTTTCCATGCCCAAGGGATACCTCCTCTGTCAACCTGCAACGGAGGCAGGGAGGGAAGGCAGATGATCCGGACATGCTGCATAGCAGCAGCAAGCCTCCTCTGCTTGCTGTCGCCATGCAGCACGTCCAGATTGCCTGCCTCCCCCCCCCCTTTGCCTCCACTTGCAGGGTGATGGAGGAGGTCTCCCTTGGGCTTCTCCCACTTTCTCCTACTTCCTCCTCCTTTAAACAGCCCTTCGCTTCCATTGCTGCTTTTTCAGTCTGCACCAAGTAAATTTTAAAGAAAGTTATACAGTATGGCAGCAAAAATCCAGCACTGGGGAAAAAAACCCTGGTTTTTTGAGACGCCAGACTAGTGTGCATTCACATGCCTCCAAACCCCTTGCTTGCTGCAAAGCCAGATTGGAGTCCTCAGGCTGCTCCTTCCAGCCCATTTTGCAGCTGGCCCAAAAGCGAAGGGAATGGTTCCCATCCCACCCTATCGCTGTGGGGCTTCATTTCCAGACCCTCTGCACAGGCTCTGGTAAGAACTCCAGGACTGAAAAAACAGCAATGGGAGCAAAGGGCCATTCAAAGGAGGAGAAAGAAGGAGAATGTGGGAGAAGTCACTACTGAACAGGTGAGGCATGACAGGTGTCGGGGCATGGTAGGCCTGGCTGCGGGGACTTTCAGCACAGTAAGCAGTTGCAGGATACATTGGGCAGCTCCCCTCTTCTCCCACCTTCCTCATGACAGTGCCCTTCACCTTTCCCCTGCAGTGAACCAAATAAATTGTTAAATTATTTGAATCCCACCACCGGAGAAATCCTACATCTCTAGTAGGGTTCTGAAAAGACAGTATCGTATAAACTGCAGGTTATTAAATAATATTCTATTTTTATATCAAGACCTTGAATCTCATTTCTTCTCCAAACAGTCAGTAGTAATATTACAAGGAGATCAACAAAATACACTGGGTATGAAAACTTGAAAAGTATTTGAAACAGTCACTTTGCAGTGTATCTTAGCACAAATAAATTATTTGAAGCATTGATGTACCCGGGCTTCTGTATATATTGGTACATGCACATGCTTTGTGTCTTTGATAGTCACAGGGGAAATATCACTCAAGCATGCATGCACATGTGCACATAACCAGGAACAGAATGTAAAGCAACAGGTCATTCCCAAATAAACAATTTATAGGTTTGTACAGTATGCTAAATCATAAGCCATATTTTTTAAAAAATATGGTAGCTCATTTCACATAAGTGACTTATAAAAAATTGAATCCAAATCCTGATTCTCGTTGTTTAAATATTTACTGTGATGCTGAATTTAGATTAAATGTTATAGTATGCACAACACACACAAAAGTTTATTTTTTTATGGATTCCTCAGATATCTTTGACCATGACCTCTTTTGAACTGGAAGACATTGATGGATGCAGATACGACAGACTTGTGTTTTATGATGGCAGTCAAAGCAGTTCTCCATTTATTGGCACTTTCTGTGGAAAAATGAAAGTTCCTCCTTATACTTCTACTGGAAACTTTCTTCGTATAGAGTTTTACACCGACTTTGCTTTTCAACTTTCTGGATTCAAGATGAACTACTCAATCAGTTAAATAAAACTTCTAGAATTTCTGAACATCAGTTTGTGGGGTGTATTGTGAAAAATTATCAAACACTATATGCAATGTACAGTAGTTAACTTAATAAATAATTGAATTACTTATGTAATCAAAAGTTTTATTCTATTCTGTGCTCGCAAAACATTAGAGATTAAATGGCTGGATAGATAACATTAATTCAAAAGAATTTCAAGAGTTTATTTATGCAAAGCTTATTAAAAGAAAGACCACACATTTTATTATATTTAACTTGTAAAACTGATTAACACAGTAGCTCCTAAGTTGAATAGCTTAAAAATGTAAGTGGATAAAGTCATGGAGGACAAATCTTTCAAGTGCAATTTATCTTGAGATTCAGTATTGCTCCTAGACTGAAGACTGCATGTCTGTAAAACCATTTTCAGGCGGGAAGTGGCAAGAGAGCATGTCTTCATCTTATTCTGGTAGGCCTCCTGGAGTGATCTGGTTGGTCACTGTAGAAAACAAAATGATTTTCTCAGGAGTCTTCTTGAACACCAGTGTTCAAGGCATCAACATTCTTCCTATCCTTCTTCAAAGTCCAATTTTCACTTCCATAGAAAGGCACAAAAAATATTATGGCTTGCACAGTTCTGATGTTTGTAGGTATAGACCCAAGGTGACATTTGACTACCTCCATGGCTACTGTACCAAGTGATAATCTATGACACATTTCTAGATTGCCTATTCCTTTACTGTTGACAGTTGATCCTAAAAAGCAGAAGCTGTCAACCACTAGAAGGATAGAAAAGATTGCCGAGAGAGAGAGAGAGAGAGAGAGAGAGAGAGAGAGAGAGAGAGAGAGAGAGAGAGAACTAACTTTTCTCCTTACCCTCTCTAACCCTATTCTTTTTTAAAAAATATATTTTATTGATTTTTTTACAATGACAAACTTTAGTGCTTAGTAAACAGCATATTGTCTAGGTTCATATATTTAAAAACAATAAATAATAATTTCTATAATTCCATAATCAATATATTAATTAATAGTTTGTTTCCTTGATCTTCCCTTCTTCCAATAATATTCTCCTTTATCAGCATTAGACAGATATAATTCTTAATATTTTCAATGCATACAAAGGTGGATATAGACATTTTTTTATTTGTTCAAGTAACAATGACATCCATATATAACATCTCTTCTGATTGACGTATTTTTCAATTGTATTTGTAAAAGTCATCTTATTAAATCACTATACATTCTGTTTTCAGAATTCTTATTAATACTTAATTTCTCCTCAATATTCAGACCGTTATCAGTCATAATTTTCTCAAAATTTATTACCTTTAAATATGCAAACTTTTCATTTGCTTATACCATCCCAATATTTTTACATTTCATATATTATAAAAAATACTATTCTACTTATGTCTCTTATCCCTCTTACCATAGCTCCTTTATATCAAAAATTATCTGTTCTTTTGACCATATTCAAACAAGTGTTTAATCATGTAGTACTCCATCCAGTAAGTCGAATCAGGTCTCTTGAATCTAACTCTAGCCTTCTTCTTTTGCCAAGTAGCTTTCCAAGTTAGTATATTCCTCTTGCCAGGCGATTCCTGTGTTTTTATAAATATTGTTGGGAGTGAGAAAGACACATTGTATATGATGTATACTTTTTGTCTTCCAGACTCTAATGCAGGGGTCTTCAAACTTGACCCTTTTGTGACTTGTGGACTTCAACTCCCAGAATTCCTCAGCCAGGCATGCTGGCTGAGGAATTCTGGGAGTTGAAGACCACAAGTCACAAAAGTGCCATGTTTGCAGACCGCCTGCTCTAATGATTCTCCTGGTAGATCTATAATCCATTTTATTAAATCTTTTTTTCTTATCCTCAAGTTTGTTTTGAAGTCCTGATAGATAAGATAGCTTTTCCATTTTCATTGTTGTGGCAAAAGTTTGTAGATTTTTTTCTGTTTGTATTAAGTTATAGTTCTCTTGATTCGTAGCTTCCCTATTTAAGTCACTTTCTTCTAGTTTGTGTTCTGTTTTCTGGTTTGTTTGTTCATTCTTTATCATCATTTTCTGAGAGTTTTTTATTTGTGATTTTAAACTGAAGATATGCTTATTTATGTCATCAAAATAGTTTTTAATTTCATTGTGGTTTGAAACCATTGTCATTTGAATCTGTTGTAGCATGGCATACATTTCCTCTTGGAAAGTATTTGTCTCATCTTGGAGTATTGCTCCTGTGGATCTCTGATGTTCCAGGTGAGGTCCTTCAGAAAGGAATATTAGGTGTGGTTTCCTGTCATTTTTAGGCACTAAGAAGTACAGGAGACAGAAAAGAAATAGGATTAGAGAGGGACTTCCCATCACCACTCCCACACAGCCAAGTTTTGACCCCTTTGCAGAATTACCAGAAGTGTAAAGTTGCAAATCTGGGGTTGCACTTTCTTTCCAACACTGAAGAGTAATCTTTTTAAAATGCCTCTCCCCTTTTCAATAAATCCATAATTCATCATGTATTAACAAGTTCCAAGTCTAAGATTTATATATAGGTGTGTGTGTGTGTGTGTGTGTGTGTGTAGGTCTTTGGTTGTTCGGTTTGGTTGTTCGGGTTTGCTGCTCGAAGCACGAAGCTGAAAACACCAGCCTGAAGATGACGAATGGGACTTCGTCGAAACATCGCCAAGACACTTCCAATTTTATGCGGGAGAAAACCCGAACAACCAAAGACCTACATACAAACACCCGCAAAAACCTCAGAAAACATATATATATATATATATAAAGTCAATCAGATAAAAATAAAGAGCTCTGGGATGTAAGATAAAAGGCTTTTTTTATTAACTGCTGAGCTTTCGTTAACAACCTGTTAACATCATCAGAGCAAAGAGCTAAATGAGAAGGGGGAGCATGTGCATAAATTTACATAACAGTTAAAAAACAGTTGAAGTAAGGCATGTGCACACATTGTGCCCAAGAAGCTCTTAAAGGCATAGAGCAGTCAGTCTCAAGACCATTTTAAAAGTCGCGCTTGTCAGCTGTTTGGCGCGTAGATCCAGCATGCCTTTTAGCCAGCCTCTTGGATTGTATAATTTGTTTGGTGTAGGGTTGTTGTGTGTGTGTGTTTTGTTGGTTACGGTTATTTGGAATGTTTGTGTGTGTTCGTTTGTTATGCTTATTAGTTGTGGGTGGTTTTGTGGTGTTTGGGAATTGGGCTGTAATATTTTGTTCCATTGAATGTGATAAGTCATATTTCATTGTAGGGGGGAGTTTTGGTCTTGGTCTTAATATTCTGTTGTTACTTAGGTGTTGTGTGTGTATGTTTTGTTGTGTGTGAGTATCTTGTGAGGTTGCAGGATTTATGTTTTGGATGTTTGTGTCCTGGATGTTGTGGTCAGGGGGGTTGTTGTTTCTGTGTGTGAGAATATCAGAACATGGTGTGTTGGTTGTGTGAGTTGTCATGGTTGTGTTAGAATTATATTCTTTAGTTAGGTTTGATGAAAAGGATTGTGTTGTAGAAAGGATATCTATTGTGTTGGTTTGGGGTTTGATAAGTGGCTGGGGTGGTGTTTTTGTGTTATTATTGGTTGGCTTGAAGTGTTTAGGGGTCATGGCCCCATGACCTCATTATATGCACATTGCTTGTTGGTAAGAGGAAGGTGCACCTAAGGCCAAAAAAAAAGAAAAAAAACCCTGAGGATTACAGAAATCCAATTTTTTTAAAGCAACACGTGAAGTTAAATCTCATTAACTATTGGTGGCATGAGTTCAGCTTGGAAAATTAACACCAGGGAAATGGAGAAATAGATGATTTACAAGTGGAAGTAGCTGCAAATAATATGTGAATCTTTTCAGTAGAAATAGAAATTGTCTTTTAATCATTTGCCAGATATTTTTATTTTCTGGTTTTGTCTTTAGAATGGTTTGATGGGTGTTTCTTCAGCAAGGTTTAATTATTAGCATTCTAATGAATGTAATAGCTACCCAATTAAATACTAACCATAGTCAGAAATACATTTATGAATATTTATTTCCAGCTAAGAAAGAAAAATTTATTCATTGCTCAACAATATTCATAATCAGCAGGGCATTATTAATCCCATTAACTGCAATAATATAAAAGTGCCTTCATCTTTTTTAATTTTTAAATTTCATTTAAATTTACGAAGTTTAACAGAACTGGAGAGGAAAAATCTCTAAAAACAGAAACCACACAAAAGCAAGCACACACACAAACACACACGTAGCACACACACAAACACAAACTTTGGGATTACCTATAAATACATCTGTAATTCAAAAGATAAGCAATTTTAAATATTCATATCCAATACTTTTACCTGTCCAATACAAATGGACACTTGTATAGATGGAAGTAATTTGATTACAAGCTGTTCAATACAGTTTAGAAAGATTTTGATTAATAGCATGCCATTTAAGGAGATTTGGCGTTGTCTGTGAATCATTCAAAGTAAAATGACCATAGCAATTTGCCATTAAATGGTTCAGCTCTTGAAGCCACAGCTGGAGCAAAATGTAACTGCACATCTGCTGATTGATGCTAATAGCTTTCTCAGAACAACACCTATCTTTGGGGAGTTTGGATGATTGTTCCAAGATTTCCTGGCCCAATTCCAAGTTCCAATTGTTATCTATAAAGTTATTAATCTGCATCTATCTTTAGCCTATCTCTTTCTTATGGCATCTGTTTACTCAGTGTGTGCTAGTGGGGAACAGCAAGGTGGGTGCCCAAATTTGGGAGTTCGGGGTAACGTGGGATTAAGAGTAGCTTCTTTGGTGGAAATTTCTCACTGTAAAACAGCTTGGCATTAGGGGAAGCTATGAAAATAATGCTCTTCCACTGGGTTTTGTAGTGGAGAACCTCAGTCAGGTATTGTGAGCTTTATTATGTTTTTAATCATTTGTCATTGTGTTTTTTATAGTGTAAGCCATCTAAAATCTATACCCAAACTTGTATTGCACACACACACACACACACACACACACACACACACACACACATTTGCCTCAATAGATTTTAGAGGAATTTTATACCAGGAATTTTATATAGTGTTAGTGTGTAATATTTCTTTGATTTTAAATGGCACATTCTTGATGGATAAACTCACTTCAGCTCCAGAAGAGATCAAGGTTGTACTGATGAAGTACAACCCAAAACTATGCTATGATACATGTATTAATTTTCAAAGTGCCACAAGATTTTGTGTCATTTTAGCCACTCAGTATTTGCTTACTAATAAGTAAATGCTAGATGGTTTATAACCATTTATTACCTCTTGGTGGCAGCAGAAGACAAATGATACCCAAAAGCAAATGTTCTTAGCAGGAACAATTGTTGTATTTGAACTTTTCCTGTTTCTGCACATCTTTGCAATTCAGTTTTAGACGGGTTTTCTGTCCAAATATATAATAATGAGGAGATCACTAAAATTGCTTGCCTTTTAGCCTGAGGACAGGCAGAAATTTTGAAAATGAAAAACAGAATTATTTCTAAAAATTCTCATGTCCCAAAGATAGCAGTACATAGGTATTTGCATGGAGTCAGGAAACACCAAATCCTCTGACATTGGGTT